TGTCACCCCCATGGGTACCATGACTTCCCCACCATTGCACTCTGCAGGAGGGGAAACTACTCTCTCTGTTGTTACACGGCCCACAGCAGACCCCAGGAGGGTTGATCTCATTGGAAGGTTCCAGGCCTCACGGGCAGAGCTCCATCAGAGAGGAGACTGGGATTGCTTTCTGAAAATTTTTTTGGGGGGCTACACTTGGTGGTGTTCAGTACTTACTCTTGACTCTGTGCCAGGGAGACCCTGTGCCTTGTTGGGGATTGAACCAGGCTTAGCAAGGCAAGCACCTTAACCCCTGCACTACTTCTCTGGTTCCTGTTTTCTGGATTTTATCCCAGAATGATTGGGACCACAATGTGGAAAGTGATGAAAAAGAAGGCAAGGTGTTTAAGGGTGTTTGGTATCTCCAAATGACAAAGATTCACATGGCTTCCATTTCCTAAACAGAGCTGTGTTTACTACCAGTGCTGGCCTTCCCGGGCTCTCACACCTGGGCTCACTCCTAGCTCACACTCCTAGCTCACTCTCTGACTAAGTCGTGCTCTCCTTCCAGGTTTTGCTTGTTTTTTTTTTTTATTTGCTTCTATTTGGGGGGGGGGGACACCTGGAAGTGCTCAGGGCTTCCTCCTGATTCTGTGCTCAGGGATCACTCCTGGTGGTGCTCAGGGGGCCATCTGGGGTGTTGGGCTTGGAACTCTGGTCTGCTGCAGTGCAAGGCAAGCGCTCGTCCCCTATACTATTGCTCTGGGTTCCTATTCTTCCAGGTTCTGACACATGTCTCTGCTTGAAGCTTACCTCCGTGACTCTGCATTTCCACTGATTTCCTGATTCCTGCCATCCCCACAGTACCTTTCACGGGGCACTTGATTTACACTCATGCTTTGTTTGTGTCTGAGAGTTTTTGGAAATCTATTCTCTCGAGCACAGAGCAACCGAGCTCAGTAAACACTCATAATTGTCCCCTGGGTTTTTTGGGGGATTTGTTTTTGGGACACACTGGGCAGTACTCCGGGGCAATTCCCAGCTCTGTGGTCAGGAGTTTCTCCCAGTGGTGGTTTTGGGGACCACCTGGGGCAGGAATTGAAGCAGGGCCTCCTGCATGCAAAGCATATCTCAGTATCTCGAGTTCTCCATCAGACTCCGTGTTCCTTGGCTTCTTTTTATGGGATTGGGGGATTGAGGTCTGCTTCCCCCCATTCCAAGTCCTTGGATTAACATTATTTTCGTCTAGCCTTGAGCTGAACCTACATTCCTTCTGGGATTTCAGTGCCTAATTTGCAAATGGAATTTTCATTTTCTTGGATTCATTCTTTTGGCTGATAGGAATGCCATAAGTTCTTATGACTTGCCAACAAAAATAATTTGAAAATTATAGTGAACACTTAGTGAGATGACCTGAGATGACCAACAACGTGTTTGAGAGCTCGGCTCAAATGGGTGAACAATAAGAGACTCCAGAGGGAGAATTCATTCATCTAGGTGGGTGTCTGTGTGATTCAGGGGCAGAAATGATGCACGATCTGTGATGGGGAAAGATGCTGAAGCATGGGGGAATGACCCCAACAGTTTCGGTCATGCTTAGTTCTAAGGGAAGGGAGGGAGTCCCAGTACTGGGCAGGGGTCAGATTAGTGGCCTTGACTTTAAGCCGATGCTGCCTGATTATATTTTATTTCTTCACATGGGCTTTTACTTTCATTGTTTTATTTATAAGGGGTCTTTTTGGAGGAGATATTATTTGACCTGAATTTTAGTTCAGTGCTTAGTACCATTATTGACATTTTCTTGTGTGTGCCTTCTGTGTCTCTGTGGAACTAACACTGCATCTCTGTGGGGAAAAACCATTAGTAACTTGTTTTTATGAAGGAGGACACTGGGCACAGTGTGAGTCAAGAACTTGCTTATGGACTTCAGATGACCAACGACATATTTGAGAGCTCGGCTCAAATGGGTGAAGTCTTGAACAACAAGAGACTCCAGAGGGAGAATCCATTCATCTAGGCGGGTGTCTGTGATTCAGGGGCAGAGATGATGCACGTTCTGTGATGGGGAAAGATGCTGAAGCATGGAGAGAACCCCAACAGTCTCGGTCATGCTTAGTCATGGGGAGGGGCTGCCTGATTCTGGGTTTAGTCCAGCGTTGAAAGGAGGTGTGGCCTGTAGCCTCTCTGGTCCCCACTGGACCTGGGCTCAATTTCATTATCCAAAGCTCTGGGGAGTAGCTGCGGAAGATCAGACTTCTAAGGGAAGGGAGGGAGTCCCAGTACTGGGCAGGGGTCAGATTAATGGCCTTGACTTCAAGCTGATGCTGCCTGATTATATTTTATTTTTTCACATAGGCTTTTATTTTCATTGTTTTATTTATAAGGGTTTTTTTTTGGGGGGGAGATATTATTTTACATAACTTTTAGTTCAGTGCTTAGTACCATTATTGACATCTTTTTGACAAGCTCTATAATTTATTTTCTCATTTGTTTTATTGAAACAATTGATTCTTTAAACAGATCCTACCGTTTCTGTGACAGAATTCTTTTCTGCTGGGGGAGGTGACCCTCATTTCACATTCTCGCTCTTCTCAATCTGAATATCAACTTCAACGAGCTCCGTCATCTTGGGCTACCTCATGTAATGGATTTGAACCAGTCATTTGCTTTTTAAACAGGGGCCAGCAATGCTTGGGGGTTGGGGGTGAGGTTGGTCACAGGGTTTCATCTGGTGGTTCTCTGGCCCCATGCGGTGCCATGGATTAAATTCAGGTCCTCACAAATGCAAGGCACGTGCTCCATCATTTTGAACCACATCGCCAGCACTTGAAGTACTTTCTGGCCAGTTTTATTTGGCTGTAATACAGTAATAAAGTCTATACTCACTCATAAATTCACAAACTGATTCATTTGGCCAATGAACCTTTGTTTATGTGCATCAGTTATTGGTAAAACACTTGCTAAGCACTTAGCACTTGCTAAGAACCAAGGGATTTGGGAGATGAGTGAGATTGTCAGTGTAGAAGCTTGTGGTTTGATGCCGACAGGGAGGCCAACATGTTGCACGGCTTGTGGTGAATTGTGGGTGAGAGAAGGACAAAACAAAACCAGATACTGAAGAAAATATCATTTCCTCTGTTTGAGGGCCACCTCCAGCTTGTCTACTGTGCATATAAAAAATCCATGTTCTGTTTCCCCTTCAAGCACCCCACCCCAATCTTTCGCTCCTCCTCCAACCCCTTCTCCTCCTCTCCTCCCCTGACCTTCATTCTATTATCAAGGTCTACGGGCTTGTCTTTTTTTTTTTTTGGTTGCACTTTATTTATTTATTTTTAATTGAATCACATGAAACATACAGTCACAAAGTAGTTTATGATTGTGTTTCAGTCACACAACATTCCACACCTGTCCCTTCACCAATGTACATTCTCTACCACCAATGTTCCCAGTTCCTCTCCCCTGTTCCCCCCCACCCCCCTTCCAGCCTGCCTCTATAGGAGACATTTTTCTTCTCTTTCTCTCTCTCTATTTCCTTTTCAGCATTGTCATAGTGGTCCTTTCTCTGCCCTAACTGCCCTCCCCCTGCCCCCAACTTGTGGCAAGCTTCCAACCATGGACCCGTCCTCTCGGCCCTCAGCTTGTCTTTTTTTTTTTTTTGTCTGTTCAGCAATTAGAACCCTTACATTGCATGCATAAGTGGAATCATCCAGTATTTGTTTTGCTCCTTCTGACTTATTTTGCTTCACACACTCCCCTTGAGCCCCTCCTATTGCTGCAAATGGCCCCTGAACTTCCTTCTTTCTCTGTTTGGGAGGTGACTCCTGCCAAGGGCTCCCAGGGCACACCCTTGGCAGGGCCTAATGCACAGCAGACAGAACGAAAAAAGACCTGTCCTGGAGAAATAAGTGCCATGCAGAAAGAATCTGTTCCTGGACAAGCTGGGCCCAGTCCTCAAGCCTCCCAAATAGCGCCAGCTTGGCACATCTTGGGTTCTGAAGTCAGACATATGCAACAGAGCTGTGGGCTCTGCCAAATGTGTGTGTGTGTGTGTGTCTGTGTCTGTGTGTCTGTGTGTGTCTATGTCTGTGTGTGTGTCTGTGCATGTGTGTGTGTAAATATTTGTTCAATTGCTTGTCAAATTGATGTTTGAATTTCCAGGTCTCTGAGCCTTGAGTTGAAACCCAAATCCCCCAGTTGTGGGGAGGAAGAAAGATGGTCCCAGGTGAGGAACAGTGTAGTTTCTCTGCGTAGTTTCCAGACAAACTAATGAGCATGCACAGAATTTGCCCATGAGTTGCGAATGTCTCATCTGAGCATGTGGATGTTAGCTGCCCCCTTTGAAGGGAAAAGCCATGAACCCCCACACCACCAGAGCCTGCACTGCTGCCTGGATTGCGTGGGGGAACCACAGGGGCAGAGCTGTGATCCGGGAAGGAAGAGAAGTTTTCACTGAGTTCCCCCAAACTCAGCCCAGCACAGGGCACAGAGACTGTGTGCAGACTACGGGATGAGTTGGCATTTTTTTTTTTCTTTTTGGAGACATTCTCAAGTCGTCAGTGGCTTTACTATCTCCAGCTCTCAGATAACCAGAGCCTTGCCAATACCCCCTTCCCCTGCGACCTCTGCAGAGCCAGCCCAGCCCTGACCATGCCGGAACAGTGAGTCGACAGAGGTGGTAGCTGAGCGTACAATGTAGAGGCGCTGTCACACTGAGCTAGGAGGTGTCCTGAGCATGGGGCCACGTCAGGCACCATCCGTGCCAGGGAAGTCTGCCACCTTAGCACTTTTACCATTTCAGATTATTTCCAAGGTGTGTTTAGGAGCCTGGAAAAAAACTTATTGCCTTGGAGGCAAACCCAGCCCATAACTCCTCGGGATTATCTCTCCTTCTTTTGAGCCCAACAACCTCCTCAGATGTATATAAAAGGATTTGTTCGGCACAGGCCTTCAGTTCCCTTCCTTCCTCCTCTGACTCTGTCCCTGCTTGACGTCTGCTCTTCTCCTTCCACAAGCCTCTCACCATGAACAGACAAGCCTGCAAGAAATCCTTCAGTGGTGGCAGCCAGGGCTTCTCCGGCCGCTCGGCTGTGGTCTCTGGTGGCAGCAGCAGGATGAGCTGTGTGGCCCGCTCTAGGGCAGCCGGTGGAGGGGCGTGTGGGGCCCGTGGCAGCGCAGGCGGCTTTGGCAGTCACAGCCTCTACAACCTGGGTGGCACCAAGAGCATCTCCATGAGTGTGGCTGGGAGCTCCAGGGCCAGCGGCTTTGGGGGAGGCCGAGGCAGCTGTGGCAGTGGTTTTGGTGGGGGCTTCGGAGGAGGCTTTGGTGGTGGCAGAGGAATGGGAGGGGGTTTTGGAGGTGCTGGTGGCTTTGGAGGTGCTGGTGGCTTTGGAGGTGCTGGTGGCTTTGGAGGAGCTGGTGGTTTTGGCGGGCCTGGTGGTTTTGGTGGGCCTGGTGGCTTTGGCCCTGGAGGCTTCCCTGGGGGAATTCAGGAAGTGACTATCAACCAGAGCCTCCTGCAGCCTCTGAATGTGGAGATCGACCCCCAGATCGGACAAGTCAAGACACAGGAGCGAGAGCAGATCAAGACCCTTAACAACAAGTTCGCCTCCTTCATTGACAAGGTGATGAGCTCTTACTGGCCCCGTTTCTGGGCTGGGGCCTGGTACTCAGTGTCTAACAGCCTTAGGAGCAGTCTGAGCTGGACAGACTGGCGGGGAAGGGCTAGGAGGGACCCTAAGGTCTGGGCAGATATTCCGGGATGACGAGCTTGTCAGCCAAGTGGACAGACAGTGGTTTTTCATTTGGCCTGGGACAGCTGCATAGTCCTGCCTGTCTGGCCGCTCCCTAATCGTGGCTGAGGCTGGCATAGCTGTCCTCAGAGCCTTTCCAGGAGGCCTGGTCCTTGTGTCAAAAGAGGGAGTTGTCCCGGGGAAGGGATCTGAGAGGTGTGCACAGATCCTTCATCCCCAGGGACTGCAGAGAAACTGGCTACTTAGTCTGCACCCCAGAACAATATAACCAGGGAGGACGGGGTGTTCGGTGCCCTCCAGACCAGGATGGCTGGCGGCATGGTGCTCTCTCATGGCCAAGGACGCCACTTCAGTTCAGGACTGATCTGGTGGATGCTTCCTGTGAGGTGCTGAAGAGTCAGAAATGCCTTAGGGAGAAGCCCGACATGGAAGTTTAAGTGCATTTTGCAGAGCGGGCAAGTTCTGGAAGTGGGCTGGAGACAGGAAGTCCCGGGAATGTGGCTTCTGGGCCTCTGCTCTGGGGGCATGGAGAGATACGGCAACCAGTGCCACCCGGCCCAGCCTCCCGCTGCCGCCAGCACTCCTGTCTGATCCGGCTTTCCCCGATGTCCAGGTGCGCTTCCTGGAGCAGCAGAACAAGGTCCTGGAGACCAAGTGGGAGCTGCTGCAGCAGCAGGGGACGGGCTCCCGCACCGGCACCAACAACCTGGAGCCCCTGTTCGAGCAGTACATCAGCTCCCAGCGCAGCTACCTGGACGGCATCCTGGGGGAGAGGGGCCGCCTGGAGTCTGAGCTGAGGAACATGCAGGACCTGGTGGAGGACTTCAAGAAGAAGTGAGTTCCAGGGCAGGTGGGGAGATGCCCGTCTCTGCGTGCCAGCTGTCAGGGAGCCAGCAGCCCTGTCATCACGCCTCTCTGCTATCTTTATGCAGGGCAGCTTGGTCCGAGCTTCTGCCACCAGGATAGTCCCTGAAGGAACTCCCAAAGGGAACACTGGCTCAGTGGGCTCAGACTGGGGAAGATCCCAACTCTAGCACTTAGAGGGTGTGTGTGGTGACCAACTAAGAACTAAGGAGAGGCCCAGGTGGAGGCACTTGCAGTCTTGACACCTGGACAGGCTCTCTGGGTCCTCCTGACCAAGCTGTGACACTGTGGGGAACAGGGGTAGTGGGGAGCAGTGCTGGGATGCAGCGGTATTTAGGGCTCCCTCCCACCCTCCACTCAGCTATTGACGTCCATGCTTACAGATACGAGGATGAAATCAATAGACGCACCACCGCTGAGAATGAATTTGTGACTCTGAAGAAGGTAAGGGGCGTGGCTGAGGAAGCTGGGTAGAAAATCAAAGCAGGTGTATCTGAACCGGGAACGACCCTTCTGGAAGACTCTTCTCAGTCCTTGAAGGGGACTGGACAACAGCCCGCTCCACAAGTGGTGGCCTGCTCCCACGTGGGGTGGCCTTGCCGGGACGGGGTGTTCTGTGGCCAGCCCCACTCCTCCCTTGCTCGCTTCTGCTGGGGCTGTGCTGTGCTGTGCGACCTCGAGGGACGAGGCCTTCTTGCCTTTCTCCTGTACAGGACGTGGACGCAGCCTATATGAACAAAGTAGAGCTGCAGGCTAAGGTGGACACACTCACGGACGAGATCAACTTCCTGAGGACCCTTTATGATCTGGTGAGGATGTGCCCCTGTGGGGAAAGAGGAGGTGTGTTTCCAGACCGGAAACCAGGAGCCAGGAAACTGGGGACCAACCTAGGCCCACTGGTGGGCTTCGTGGAGGACGGGGGGGGGGGGGAAGGGCGGGGTGGATACACCTTCAGAGCTGAGCCCGTGAGAGCAAGTGCGGCTCCCTGGTGTCCTTGGGCCCCTGTGTACCTGGTGCAGAGGTGAACAGGCCCCTCGGGATTTTCAGGAGCTGTCCCAGATGCAGACGCATGTCAGCGACACATCCGTGGTCCTGTCCATGGACAACAACCGCTGCCTGGACCTGGACAGCATCATCGCTGAGGTGCGCGCCCAGTACGAGGAGATCGCCCAGAGGAGCAAGGCCGAGGCCGAAGCCCTGTACCAGACCAAGGTGGGTGCTGAGAGTTTCTTATTCATCCACGTTAGGGTGTCAGGGAGGCTGCAGGGCGTGGTGGTCAGTCATGGGGGGCCATGGGGGAGACTCCTGTTGGCTGTATGTACTCTTTGCATCCACTGCTCTAACCATTGTTCAGTTGCACTGCACCCTCCTCACCCTCCACAACCAGTGGACATAGTTCTACCTGCTACTTCGAGACCATGCAAGGCCATGCAAGGCCACACAGCTCTGACTAGCTGGCTCAGGCAAAAGCAGGAGACCCCTCACACCATGGCAGCCCCATGCTACCCTCCCTGCTGCCCTGAAGGAGTCTGACTGAAATTCAACTTACTCTTCAAGACGGGGTGGGTGATGTTAGGGCCACTCTGTACCAGCATGCCACCATCCCGTCTGTCCCTCCAGTTGGGAGAGCTGCAGTCCACGGCGGGCAGACATGGGGATGACCTGAAGAGCACCAAGAGTGAGATCATGGAGCTCAACAGGATGATCCAGAGGCTGCGGGCTGAGATCGAGAATGTCAAGAAGCAGGTGGGCAGGGGAAGGATGCTGGGGTGGGGCCTGGTGGGGGCTGGGTCTGAGGCTCGGGGCTGCTGGCCTCTCTGGGTTACGGCCAGCAGCACTGGCCTCCAGAAAGCTCAAGGGCCCAGCCAGAGTCGAGAGTGGAAACCCACAGGCTAACAGTCCCATGGATGGAGAGCAGCAGTGCTAGGGAGGCATGTCGCCCGACTTTAAGATGCTTGCCATAGAACCCGGAGTGCCTGGTGCTCTCCTTCCTAGCTCATCCCTTCTCCTACCCCCCCCCCCCCCCGCCAGAATGCCAACCTGCAGGCCGCCATCGCAGAAGCAGAGCAGCGCGGGGAGCTGGCCCTCAAGGACGCCAAGGCCAAGCTCCAAGAGCTGCAGGCCGCCCTGCAGCAGGCCAAGGATGACCTGGCCCGGCTGCTGCGCGACTACCAGGAGCTGATGAACGTGAAGCTGGCCCTGGACGTGGAGATCGCCACCTACAGGAAGCTGCTGGAGGGCGAGGAGTGCAGGTGGGCTCAAGTCCCCTGGTGACCCCCCTACCCCACCCACCTCCTGCAGGAGCTAGAACTTCAGTGGGGATGGAGGTGGAGAAGCCCAGGGTGCAGCAGCCTCTTCCCCTTCCTTCGTAGTTAGAGTGTACCACGGCAGCACCCCAGGCACCCTGTGACCCAGAGAAGGGTGGAGGGAGGCGCTGATGGGCACCGGCCCCGAATCCACATCTGGTAGCTAACCACTCTTCTGTGGGAAATCAGTTTTGCGATGGAGCGCTTTCTCTTTCTCAAACAGGATGTCCGGAGAGTGCCAGAGCTCTGTCAGCATCTGTAAGTAGCTGAGCAACTGTGCCAACACATACTCCCCCACTGATCTGAACTACTGGGTGGGTGGGGGGCTCCTGGGGGAATAGCAACTCATTCAAAATGCCCCACACCACCACTGAGTGTGGCGGCCTTGGTGGCCCAGAGCACCACTTACCAAGCAATCAAGCTTGGCTAGGAGGACTCCTTCTAGATCTACGAGAGTTGGGACGATCTGGGGAGCACAGCGCATTGCATTGGCATTTGGATCCCTGCTGGGTTCAGGGCACTATTGTTAGGGTCGATTCAAGAGGAATTCTGCCAGTGGGGGAGAGATTCTGGCTGGCTAGTGTCCGAGGGGGTCCTCAAGAGCTGAGCACGCATACAGGAGACCCTGGGGTCACTCTCCCCTCCGGAGCGCCGCGGGTCCCTAGGACGCATCCCCAGCGCTCATCAGGAAGGGGCCGTCGGTCTCCGAGTCAGACAGCAGTCAGGCACTGATGGCTTTCTTTCCTCTTCCCTGCAGCGGTGGTCAGCAGCGGCAGCACCACCTCGGCCGGTGGTTACGGCGGCGGTTTGGGCGGCGGCTTGGGCGGCGGCTTCGGCCGCGGCGGCAGTGGCGGCGGCTTTGGCGGCAGCTGCGGCTTCGGAGGCGGCAGCAGCGGCTTTGGCGGCAGCTTCTGCGGCAGCGGCGGCAGTGGCTTCGGTGGCGGCTTCGGCTCCAGCTCGGGCTCCGGGGGCCGCTGTGGCGTCACTGGCGGAGGCTTCAGCTCCGGCAGCTACCGGGGTGGCAGCTCCAAGTTCTCTCAAAGCTCCCAGCGCGGAGGCCGATGAATGCCCGTGGGTCTCGCCCCCTGCACCCCCGGCCCTCGCCCGTTTCCCGCAGGGCCCCTCCAAGTCCTGTACTCACATGCCCGTCCTGGGCGCATTCACGCGCCACTCCCCCCTGGCTCTAGCCTGTGCCCGTGATTGGCCATGGCCTGCCCATGCGATTTCCTCTCTGGGTAGATGGGTCATGCCAGTGGGGGTGTGTGTATCCCACTACTCCCCGTTCATCCTTCATCACCCCCAATAAAGTGCATTGTCCTTCACCTAAGCCTCCGACTCCTCTCTGGATGTCCCCCTTCTCCCCACTGTACGCCTTCCTGGGCAGCCACGCCCTCTTGGCCGGAGTGTGAGACCCAAATTCACAGCGTCCTGTTGTGGGTTCCACCCTCCAGTTCTTAGGGGGGAAGGTTGGGCCATCCTGCACCCAAATCTTCCGTGTCTTCTCTTTTCTGGGGGAATCTTTGAGGGTCTTGGATTGTGTTGAGGGGCTCTGGGTCTCGAAGTTTTCCCCTGGTGCTTGTCTCCACTTCAGCTGACACCCCAAAACGCTTCCCCCATCAAGATGCACCAAAGCGTTTCCTCCGTCAAGATGCACCAAAGTGTTTCCCCCGTCAAGATGCACCAAAGTGTTTCCCCCGTCAAGATGCACTGGGGGTGGGGGTGGGGGAGTGGGAACTTCTGGGGTTCTCCAGAGTCACTGTCTCAAAGTTCATTCCATGATTTTATGGAACCCCAGTCCATTGCAGGCCTTTACAAAAAGGGGGAGTGCAGTCTTCCTTTTGGAACATGTATCAGAGTTCTGAGAAGGTGGCACAGATCACTGCTGTCTTCCCAACAAACGGTCCTTCCTATCCCTGAGCAAACACCCAGAGTGCCAGGCCGGTGTGAGCTGCGGGGTCTTCCATGGACAGCAAACCCTTTTCCAGCAGCATTAGCCGGCCCTGGGAGAGGGTCCAACTGCTCCAGGCTGCATGGAGGTCAAGAGCTTCCCTTGTAGATGTGAGGCTCAGAGCCAGCGTGGCTTGCCCAGGGTCAGACGGCATCCTAGTGGCTGTGTGGGCTGTAGAGCCAAGCACCCTGAGTCCAGAGCCCCTTCCACTGACCCTCGCACCCTCATCCCCCCAACACACAGTGCTGTCTCCAGGCCCGGCTGGCTGCCTGGGTACCCAGAAACCGGGTAAGAGATGGAATCTAAGTGACTAGCCAGATCCAGGTCAAAGAGCAGAGTTTCCGACTTAGGTACTGATTTCAGAGAAGGAAATGGCAGGAAAATACACCTGGGGAAACAGCCCCTGGAGTGCGAAGAGATTCCTACGGAAAGCCCATGCCTGTGCTTGGTGCAGATGCAGGGTCAGTTTCCCTCTTCAAAGATCCACAAGGTTCTTTGAGGGAGTAGCTCTTGTCTCAACTACGGGCAGGAGGGCATCTTTTCTGGTTGGTTCCCTTAAGGGGACACAGGCAGGAGACCGCATGTTTGCTTCCCATCAAGGGCTGATTCAATGGAGGCAGGAGGGAACAGTAACTCTGTCCTGCAGAAGGCATTATGGGGTACCTCCCTCTCATCTTTCCTCCCTCCCTCCCTCTCTTCCTTCTTCTCTCCTTCCCTTCATGCTCCCTCCCTCCCTTTCTCCCTTTCTCCCCCCCTTTCCTCCTTTCCCACAACTTAACTTAACTTCCCGTTAGTCGTTGATTTGCTCGAGCGGGCACCAGTAACGTCTCCATTTGTCCCTGTCGCGTGCTAGTGTAGCCCAATGGCATCTGTTCGCTCCGGGAACATGAAGGGCCTCAAACCGATCGTTCATGATCTTGACGAAGAAGTCTGACCATCTGGTAGGTGGGCGGCCACGCGGTCTCTTGACATCCCATGGAATCCAATCAGTAACAGCTCTAGTCCAACGGTCATCTTTAAATCTCATTACGTGACCAGCCCATCTGATTTTCGACACCTTGGCAAATGAGACAGCGTCCCTGATCCTTGATCGTCGACGGATGTCAGAACTCCGGATTCGTTCTCTCATTTGAGTGAAACGTGATATTCCAAGCATAGCTCTTTCTATTCTTCTTTGGGAGACCTGAATAGCGTTCTCATCTTGTTTGCGTAGGGCCCAGGTCTCTGAGGCATATGTTAATGCAGGAAGAACAGTGAAATCAAAGAGATGTGCCCGGAGCCGGAGGTTCTTCGTCCTCTTAGCTATTTCTTCGACGTTCTTGAAGGCGTTCCAAGCCGCTCTCTTCCTCCTGCGCAGCTGGGGTGCCAGGTCATTTGTCATGTTGACCTCTCGACCTAGGTACACATAGCTGTTGCATTCGGAGATGGTCGTTCCATTGAGAGCGAATGGGGCGTCAGGAACAAGGCTGTTTCTCATAAACATTGTCTTCGTAAGATTCAGCTGTAGTCCTACAACTAGTATCACACTTTTGGCACCTGTCTAGATGTTGGTGTTGCTTTGGGAGCGAAGATCAGATGTGTCCCCACTCTCATTTTAGTAAGAGCGCCTAACCACAATGCAAACAAATGTAAACACACAAGATAGTTTCAGAAAAGTGTGCGAAGAAAGAGGGACCAGGCTCAAGAAATGGCAGGGCAGGATCATGACTTCAGGTGGAGAGGGTAAGTTCAACCCCCTAGCTAAGGATGCCCGTTCCCCACGATAAGGGGTCAGGTGGCTTGTGGTATCACTTCTGAAGGCGAAAGAAGAGTAGCAGGGGGTGGGTGTGAGGAGAAACTTGGGAATCGTTGCTTTTGAGTTTTGGGGAGGGGGTTTGGACCACACCTGGCAGAGTTCAGGAGTTACTCCTGGATCTTTGCTTGGGGATCATTCTGGTAGTGCTGGGGACTGAACTGGTGTTGACCGCATGCAAGGCAAGTGCCTTAACCCCTGTACTCTCTCTGGTCTAAGAATTTTTATGGATGGGTTGGGGCAGTTCATGGGATAGCGAGTGAAGAGTGACTGCACTTGGAGATGTGAGAGTGGGCTGATGGGGAGACTTGGACCCCACTTTTGAACATAACTGGCATAATGATGGGGACAGATGAGTAGCCCCAGAGAGGGCACGAAGAAAACTGAGGCTGAGCCTCAGGGAGGCCAAGCAGCGGGAGTCAGAAGGAGGAGGGCAGTCAGGCAGGCAGGAGAGTTTCATCTGTATATTTCAGATGCTTCCATTGAAAAGCCGAGGGGTGTCCATGACTCCCCAGGACATCCCAGACTAGAGCCAGCTTTCCTGAGACCCTGGGCCCCCAGATCACATTCAGACAGTTCTCACTTGGAGTCTCCGCTCTAGATTCTGGCCCATGGCCACACTGTGGGGAGTCCGCGGGAGGACTCCACTACTTAAGAAGCCCTATAGTGGAGGGAGTGGGGACCAGGAAGCCGTGACAGTGTTCATGCAGCTTCCTGCCAGAGAGTGACTTTGGGCTAGCACAGGAGGAAGGCCCCTAGAAGTTGATTTCTTGGGGGTGTTATTGTCCTAGGGGATGGCTGGGTAGGTGACCTTGATACCAGAATCTGGAACTCAATTCTCCTCCTCCTCCTCCTTTTCTTCTTCTTCTTCTTCTTCTTCTTCTTCTTCTTCTTCTTCTTCTTCTTCTTCTTCTTCTTCTTCTTCTTCTTCTCCTCCTCCTCCTCCTCCTCCTCCTCCTCCTCCTCCTCCTCCTCCTCCTCCTCCTCCTCCTTCTTCTTCTTCTTCTTCTTCTTCTTCTTCTTCTTCTTCTTCTTCTTCTTCTTCTTCTTCTTCTTCTTCTTCTTCTTCTTCTTCTTCTTCCTCTTTCTCTTCCTCTCCTTCTCCTCTCCTTCTCCTTCTCCTTCTCCTTCTCCTTCTCCTTCTCCTTCTCCTTCTCCTTCTCCTTCTCCTTCTCCTTCTCCTTCTCCTTCTCCTTCTCCTTCTTCTTCTTCTTCTTCTTCTTCTTCTTCTTCTTCTTCTTCTTCTTCTTCTTCTTCTTCTTTCTCTTCCTCCTACTCCTACTCCTTTTTCTTCCTTCTCCCCTCCCTCCCTCCCTCCCTCCCTCCCTCCCTCCCTCCCTTCCTTCCTCTCCTCCTCCTCCTCCTCCTCTTCCTCCTTCATTATATCACCATGAGATACACAGTTACAAAGTTTTCATGATTGGGTTTTGGTCATGTAACATTACAACACCCATCCTTTCACCAGTGCACATTTCTCACCACCATTGTCCCCAGTTTTCCCCTTTCTACCCCTGCCCCTAGTCTACCTCTTTGGCAGGTAATTTTCTTCTCTCTCTTTCTCCTTCCCTTTGAGCATTGTGGTAAGCTCTGCAGTCCCTAATTTGGGTTTACTCTCTTGTCCTTTACTAGAACCTCCCTTTTTATGGAACAGTCATGGTTGTCAATACAATCAGGGGCAGAGCTTCACAGTCTGTCTATGGGACTCACTTCACCTACCACCCTGTCCAAGTCCCACCCACCTTCCAAGGGCCCCCTACTCTTTTCTCCCCCCACAAATCTTTCCTTTCCTTCCAGAAACCACTGGTTTTCCCACTGAGTTGGGAGTTAATTATTATTATTCTGTTTCTTTGCCTTAGTGATATTTAGGTGTTTATAAGGATATCTGCATGAAGTCCTATAGTGATCTCTCACTTCCTTCCTTGTCACTTAACACAGTCACCTCATGCTCTGCCCATTTTTGTCCCAAATGGCACAGTTCCATAATTTTGGTGGCTGAGAAGAAGCTCCACCATTTCTTTATCCACTGAGCAGACTTTTCATCTTGGGAGAGAAAGGCCACTGGTGCCGTCTATTCCTGTCTCATCCTACAGGCAGTTTTTTGTTTGTCCACAGCAGGAACTGAGAGTCTGAGCGGTGTGACTGTTTAGTCTGGAATGGGAGGTGGGCCTTGGGCCACGGTCAGTAGGTGTTTCTTGTGTCCTCTCAGTTTTATTCTCCTGTCTTACTTGGAGGTCCAGTGGAATATTCTCTTGTGCCTAGATCCACAACCATCTCCCACCCCAATCCAGTCCTCTCAGCCCGCTTCCCTTTGCCTCCCACACATCCCCATCTAGAAAGAACCT